AACAAGAGGAGGCCCTGGGGAGGAGCCTCGCATGGCCCTCGAGGGGACTTGCACGTGACAGGCGGGAGGAAGCAAGAGCGCGCTTCATGGCAAGGCGCCAAAACGAGGCTCGTTGCTGAGCACTTGGACGAGATTGAGCAAAGCCGCCAGGAGGCGTGCTGCCGTTCAGCGGCTGAGGACACTCATCGCCGCGCCGAGGAAGCAAGGTGCCCGCCGGAGAGGGGAATACGGCAATTCGACTTTTAAAAGACCAATGGAAGAGGGGGAGGTTAAGAGGTTCTAGCTCGAGGAGAAGAGGGAAGCCATGCGGCAGGAAGTCAGGGGTTGCGTTGAGCAGAGGCGTCGGAATTAGATGAAGCCAAGGGAAAGGTGGAGGACGATTTAAAGTTGAAGGCGGCTCGAGCGGCGTCCAGGCGACTGGGCGGCCGAGGAGGCAAGGTGCCGCGCAATCCTTTCCAACCACGCTAAAGGAAGCAAAACAGCAGCGAAAAGTAGAGGAGCAATGGAGAGCACGAGCGCAGGGAGATAGAGCGGCGCAACGAGCAGCGCAGGGAGCTGGAGCGCGTGGAGAAGGAGCGGCAGGAGGAACAGCGTAGAAAGAAGAAACGGCAAGAGGAGCAGCAACAGAGGGAGGAGAATAACGGGCGGCACGGGGAGGATCAAAAGCAAATGAGAAGACGAGAAGCGCTTGAGGCGTGAGTGGCCCGGTGCGTTTCAGAATAAGAGTCGAGAAGAGGCTAGAGAGTTCTTCTTGGAGCTCGTGTCCTCTCTAGAAATGGACGTAACGAGGGAGTCCAGTGGGCGGGATCTGAATAAGTGCTATCAAGACGCTAGTAGGAGAATCCATTCGAGCAAGCAAGGGGAGGCAAAACAAACGGGGTTCGGAAAAAGGCGATAGAAACGGCGTAGAGAGAAAAGCAACCACGCATGTTGACGTGCTTTTGCAAAAAATAAAGGCTCAGTAAAGGGATGGTGATATTGTAGTTCTACAAGTATATAATGGCAGTACTCGCAGTTAGGTTGACTGCAAACGTCGAACTCAATAGTTCCATATATAATTGTAGTTGCATTTGAGGCGAACTTGTACCCAGACACACTACGTAGTGTTTCTAGAGAATCAATCGTTTGCGATTCTAGGCAACGGTTTTCAGCACTGGAAAAAGAGATAACGTGCTGTCTATGTCATCAAAACCGCTTTGATTCGAAATCTGATGATAGTTGAAAGTACTACTGGCCCGCAACTATCATACTCGCTTGTTTGCAAGGAAGTAGAGGTGCGTTCAGTTGAACACGGTGCGGACTTATAAGCGTGAGTTTTACTCTACTGATATTAAGAAGGCTGCCGGAACTTTCATACCTATTGAAGTTGTGTATGACGGAATTAAGTCGAAAAGCGGAATCCAATGGCGATCGACTCTCATGGCTGGCGGAATTTGACGTTAATCTCTTTGGCTTTGTGTCATGTTTTGATACGTCATTTCCGTGCAGTGTTCGACCACCTTTTCTAACATATGGAGGACCGAAAGATCATCTTCCTTAAATAGAACCCATTTCAGTGCAAAATGGTCTTTTTGTTGGCGAAAGCGCAAAGCACCCTGTCTATTCGCTCATCTGACTCCTTCGTCTAGCTCATCATCCCCAATGTCACATGTGCAACGCTGAGAATGTTAAGACTGGTCAAAGTAAGTAGCAAATCCATACAGCTTCGCTTTGCTTCCGCTACGATATCCAGCGGCGCTATTCCAAAGGCCAAGTCCACCAAGCAGATCCGGAGCCGTTAGCGTTGCCACAGTTTCTGTTGAAACCCATGGTGGCCGAGGGTCGTAGTGTAGTTGAGCTACTCATCATCGGGTCTGATCGTGTTGCCCGGCACCTGCTCATCTCTCATTGATGGCAGCCATGCATCCTAAGAGGAACTGTTGAGATACGGGCATTTAGGGACCCGATCTTTGGGTGATTCTAGGGTTTTAGGATCATGACGTCGACGGTTATTCGACGGTAAC